GTAAATAAAAATAAATATTGATTGCTGTTAGTCTACTTGGTGAGTGCTGATAAGCAGGGGTTTAAACCTATTACAAACTCTTGCTTTGTTGATTCGGATCTGAGCTACAATAAACCGCCGGCGTTAGTACTACTACCAGTTACTGTCATTAAACCACGAAATCTCTCGAAAAAGTACCTCACTAATTTTTATAACGTCTGCTATAAAGAATATTTTGAGAATTGAACCATGTACATGCATGTGCATTAATGTTGAGTCCTCCCACTGAAGACTTGGACTCAGCCGAGACATGAACGGCACAACCATTGTAACTCTGGGTGCGGGTCACCAGGACCTGCCACGTACCGTGATGTAAATAAAAGTGTTTTTTGCATTAAAATTTGTGTTGCCAGTTTGTTCACAGAAATTTATAAGATATAGCCAGGCTTACCTCTTCAAGAACTTTGTATAGGAAGCTGACAGCTGTATTTTGCTGGGCAGAGAAGAAAACAATAAATAAAGGTGTCATTTAGTGAACTCTAAAAATGTCCAGGGATTACTGCTTTATATAAGCTACTTTGTATATACCGTATGCCCGTAGGTAAGTGTGACATCAAAGGTATTGTTTTTGAGCTGATTCGTTCTGATAACAGTATATATTTTGGCTATTTGTCGTTTGAAGAGTACTATGTTTTGTATTCTGGCCTGGAATTGAGTAAAACTGTGTTATTTAGAGGAAACTAATATTTCTCCATTCAAATTGGCAAATTTGTAGCCTTTCTCAAATGCTTATTCAAATGCAGAGAACCGTTCGTAAGTAGTTTTAGGTCATGCATTGGAGCACGCATACTGACTAATTCTAGAGGTCGGAAATACCTAGGAGGTATCGATTTTTAGGTCATGTCTGAAATTGGGTATCGAAAATCACACATTTTGTCTGAAATTGGGTAAGAGTTTCAAGAAATGTAGCAAACGTGCGTTTATCCTTAACCCCGATTCTCGGGGTTTCAGATATGTTTAAAGGGAAAGTGTGTCAACGAGTAATTTCAATTGCGATGATCAAACAATAGGGCCTCACAAAATTACCAGAGGTTTTCATTATTTTTTCAGGTCAGATGATAAAAGTAGTCAGGAAAACTCTGACACCTCGGCATACATGGAAAAATGCTCTAATACTTGCATGATGTGACTTACAGTGCAAGCTGATTCATCGTGCAGAAACAAGCCTTGATATTAACCAACAACTAAATTAATCATACCTGCAGGGATTGGGTTACTAGCTCCACCTGTTTCACAAATGGTAACGTTCTGATAATGCCGCAGAAAATAGCAATGAGATAATCTACAGATCTTCTGTCTGTGAAAACACCACTAACGTGACTAATATTTCCACCGGAGAGATAGTTTTCGAGGGACGACTTGATCCAAGGGAATAACATATGATTAAGAAATTGTTCACTTAATTCAGAATAATTGTCATTGTCTAGCACTGAACAAATTGAAGATTGTTCACTTGTTGTCTTTTCTAACAACGTTTTCATGAGTTTTGTTGATGTAAAATGAGGGACAAGACCCGAGAGAAGCTTCAAATGCAGCAATGAATTATCTTGAGATATTTCGTCCAGGCACAGAGAACACGTGTTACAAACCAAGTCCAAAAGACAACCATTGTAAAGACTTTCCACGTCAACAGCTGTGAAGGATTCACTCCAAGAGTACCGTTTTTCAGTCTCAGATAAATTGCTATCAAATGATTCTGATGATGGTTCCGTGAATGCAACTTTGAGTTGTTTTTTCTTCTTCTTGGATGGGAATTTAAGAGTAACCAAACAATGCGACACAGAGTTGACAACTTCATCACTAACCTGAGGGGAGGGAACATCATTGACATCATCATAATCAAGAACTACAACTGCTACAAGTACATGTACTTTGTACACTGTACATCAAACATGCACTGGTACAATGTACATCTTCACCTCTTTCAAGGAGAGTATTGAGCTAAACTGTCCAAATTTCCAGAAGAATGGATGGGTGGGGGCTTACACCAATAACAGCAAATAAGCTCTACAGTGCACATGTTATTAAAGGGGCTACGTCATGGTTTGTGTATCTTGCAAAGTTCAGCCTTAATTTTTCAAGTTCGTTCTTTGTAATCTGTGTTATTTTCTCCATTCTTA